CAGACAACTGTGCACTTCTTGCATCCAGCAGCTTAATTAGAGTGTGTTCTGGGTGGGAAGAATTATCGTGCCCTACTATCTATATGAACCAATATTCTTAGAAGAGAAAGAACTCTACTGCAGACTTGCTGTGTCCCAGTTAATCATCCACATTTTATTTAAGCGTGTACGGCCTTTTTGTTTGTTTTGATGAAGGTGCTTTCTCTGTGCACGGTTGATGCTGCAAGACATAAAAATTAAGATATGTTTATATTAGCATTTCCACAGCACCATGAAAGACTGTAGAAAATGTACATTTTACAGCATAACTGGTATACAAAAGTGATGCATGTGCAGTATGTGGGCAAGGAAATATTTAAATGTCACCAGGAGAAGTTAAGCTTTTAGATTTCTTGTGTTTTGTATGTTTAAGTACTTGACTTCAACATTGCATGAATTCTGAATTTTTTCAATTTGTTTTTCTTCCTTCGGTGCTTGGTTTTTTATTTTTTGCAGACTGATTTTTTGACCACAAGAAGGCAGACAGAATTATTTGATGTTGAGAACCTTGTTAATTTTATGTCCCATTTTCACGTGGAGATCAGCTTTTATTTCCCCCCTCACTCTTTATTCTTGATTCAATTGTCAGTAAGGTTTGCTGAGCAAAAACACTGGATGTATTATGGGAAGAAATCTAATCAATGCAGCACCAAGGGACAGTCCTTCAGAAGCCTCCCTAGTGGCTGTGAGCCAGACTGGAGGTTACTACGAGGTTACTCTGTCTGACTTTTACCAAAATACCCAGCTACTTCTGAAAGGGCTGCCGGCAGCCCTGTGCATGTGTAACAGAAGCCTCATTAATATAAGCTCCCAATATATATACACCTGTTATGCTAGCCCCCAGCACAGAGCCCGTGTTTCCTATTTTAAACACTTTGCATGTCTGTCTACATTCCCTTCTGTCTGCAGTTGCTCTAGTGCGGTACTGCAGAGCAGCTCATATGCAGTACCTCCAGGGAATGCAGGAGGCTAAATAAAGTTGTGGCAGATGTCAGGGGACTTTGCCAAACGCTATTTTCCAAGTTAGATAGTTTGAAAAATTAACTGGCTAATCCCAACTCTGTAATATAGCAGTAACCTCATTAGCGTGCAGCCTCATTAAGTATGCATTTCTTTAACTGCTCCTTTATCGGGTTTTGATGAAGCAAATTGCGTTGACAAACATGTGGGAAATCTTTATATGACTGGCAAAAGTCTGCTCCCATCCTTGTCCCCAAACCCCAGTGCAAAGCGTGCAGTGTGACTCTTAAGCTCTTTTAAGCAGTACAGCACTTCCTTAGGGCTGTTACCTGTTTTGGCTCTGAGTTCTAAGAAATCACTTGACAGCAAAATTACTCTAAGCCAAACTTCTCCTCTTTTATAAAATATTTGTTCAGCACGTTCCAGAACAGGGGTTTCACTCAAGAAGTTACACATATTCTTTGTTAATGACAAAAAAAAAAAAAGGAAAAAAAAGGATCAAAGCAGTATCAGATACAACTACTGCATTTACTGATTCAGCACAGGAGCAAAATCTTAGCAAGCCCACAGAGCTGTGTTCTTTTTGGCTTGGTTTTCATTACCAGTGCATGGAGAACCATTCACATCAGTACCTCTGACAGGCATTTGCTGTGTTTGGCGTAAAGGAGCAGTAAGTTTGCTTCACATAGCTCTCAGTGAAGGCCTAGTGGTCCCCCCAGCAAAGCCAGAGATGCCACAAGGGATGGTGCTGTCACTCCAAAGCCACAAGGTACTGCTGGCCATACTCAGGTTGGTCACAAGGACACCCTCCTGGTGGTGGTGTGGTTCCTGTGTATAGGGCCACATTTCTGTAAGAGGGCACATGTGCCATTACAGGTTTCACAATTCTTTTTACAAGGCGCTTTTGATGATGTCTGCACTTTATTTTTATTACCAAAGCCTTTTTCATGCAAAATTTCAGTGAGATGTGAATCCTAGAACTAGGAGGTATCAGTGGCTAACAATTTCTGCTGTGGAATGTGCTTCGCAGGGAATTGGAGAGGCACTTCAGGATTTGGATTAACTATACTTCAGTTCTAGTACTTCTCCATCTGCAGTGATGGTCTTCATGTATTCCGCAGCATTTGATTGTAAATTATTACAGCCTGGCCATTTTGATAGGCATTTTTATTAAGCACAACTTGACAGCACAGTCTCTTCAGTTAAAAATCCTAAGAATTAGCAGCCAGGACTAGTGGACTAGTACAAAAGCCAGTCTGGCAGTCTAGGTCAGCAGTTTCCTAAAATGGGACCAGTGATGCCATATCATGGAGATGCTACTTGAGCATTGTCCACTGCATTTTAGTAGGGTTTGTTTTTAGTAGGTTTTGGTTCGAGGACCTTCTTGAATGTAAGCAACTTTTTGTTCAGAATCCTACCTTAATATTGCAAGTATTATTAAAACATTTTAGAGGAAGTAAACTGCAGCCTGCTCATGATAGAGAAGTAGCATCTTTGTAATTCATAATACTGACGTGTACTTCCTATTGTGATTAGGTTTTAATAGTATGTCTCAGTGAACTGATGCTTTAGTTCTTGTGAAACAGGAATGAGTATTGTGATTGTTTTACTTGAGTGCTATTAATTGGGTAAGTTCAGGAATTTTTTTTCATTATTTGAAGCAAGAGTTTTTCTATGGGAATGCAGTCAATATAAGTGTGACTGGAAATTTCATGTGATATATTACATATTGAAATCTAGGCTATGTCAGCATATTTCTGAAAGAAAATATTTCCCTGAAGAGATCTACTCAGAAAAGTACTTCTAATTCTTTGTACACTTGTACCATATCTCAGCATTTTCTAATTAAGAATATCTAATATTTTCAGTCGAGGAATCAGATAGCATGCACAGGAAACTTTGAATATGGGAAAAAGATAAGACTGTAGTCTGACCAGTACAGGTGGAAGAACCTGTAGAAGTTGTGGAAGTGCAGTAGTCTACTTAGGGCTTACTTAAATTGCTGCTTACTAATATCCTGCTACATGAAGGAAATAATGCAAGTAGAAGTGGAGCAGTTGTGTTCTGATTTCTAAAGGCCAGCTGAAATTGAAACATACTGCTCTCAGTGGCAAATCCTTCAAAAAAAAAAAAAAAATGCTTTGAACCTATACTTTAAGGGGTCAAAAAGAAATAGCAATAATGTTTTGGTCTATCTTGTGGGCTGTGTTCATTTGTTTAATCGAATACAAGGATAGCAAGCTGTCCCTCCTTGAAATGAACATCTTGCAGTGCTGCACAGTGAATTTTGTCTTTACTGCTTCAGCGTACAGTATCTGTTAGTTATATGGCTGTATAATCAATGAATATACAGATGTTATACTTATGAAATATACCAGAGAGTTTGGCTAAACCAGTTATTACACCACTGGCAGTCAGCTCTTAAATGGGTCAAGAAGAGGTGCAGCCAGGCTCCACTCCTTCCAGCAGCACAGGTGAATTGCCTTCACCTGTGCTCCTGTGGCTGACTCATTGCTTGCCTCAGGTGATCAATCAGAGGTTCAGGCTGTGATTCAGCAGTTCCCATACAACGGCTTATTAGGCATTTTGCATTGCACTGCTATCATTATGAGTAAAAATAACATAAATAAAACCATGAACTAAAAAGGAGGAGCTGAGAGTTGTTCTGCTAGTATGTCTACGTTTCTTTCTGTTGAAATGGACTACTTATGCTCCCCAGCCAGAGAATTTTCCTCTCCTGTTTTGAAATACATATATTCCTACAGTAGACTTTAAAAAGAAACGTCACGTTAGGATCAAGGAAATAAGTTTCTTTTGAAGCCTCTGTACTCTCCATGATGCTTACAGTTATCCAGTGGTGGTTTGGTACTTCAGATTTGTGCTTTGCTGGATTCCTATTCTGAGTGTAGGATTGCTATTCCAGGGTGTTGTGAACAAACCAGCCGTCTTTCATTTGCTAATGCATTACATTAAATGGCCATCATCAGGTTTCATTTGTATGTTGTATTGAATATGTGTAATATTTTATTCTTCCTCTTTGCTGTACATCTTGTTGCATACATCAGGAATTTATAAGAAAACATGAATTAACCTTGCAAGTAAAAAAAAAGAAGAGAGAAGAAAAAAGAAAATCTGTTTTTTACATCGTAGTTGTCAAATTAACAGTATTTCAGATTGTACCCAACCCCTCCCCCTCAGCATCTTAGTCTTTTTTTTCATTTTAAGCTACTAGTAGAAGTTCATCTTTGTGACCAAGTTGATGAATTACCCCAGACATTTTTTAAATATGGATTTAAACACATAACAGGAAAGTAAAAACAAAAAGCCAGGAAATGTCTAAGTTTGTGCACAGCAGGGAATTCAGAAGCTCAAACCTCTTTAAAAGGATGGCTTATCCCAATGACCTTCAAATGATGTTTAGTAATATCCCAATTCAAAACAAAATGTAGACATGTTTAATCTGAATTGCGTATTTAAGGGAGACTTTGAAGGGTTTGAAGCATAGGCATAATGCTTTATCAGTAAAGAGACAGAAGTTTAATGTTTCTTGTAGTACATTCTCATGCTTCAACAAGAAGAATACCTAACAACTGCTGCTCTTCTATTATGAGTCTAAGAGTGAGGGGGTTTCTCCTTAACTCTCTGGAGAAGGAATTTAAGACCGAATAATAATACTGGCATGACTGAAGTTTTTCATGTCTAAACATCTGCAGGATTGTAGCCTACTGTAATAATGGAACAGTCTGAAAAATATGTCTATAAAATCTGAATATGGTACTATATCAGCACATATTCTTCATACAGCATTAAGGCAGTCGAGTTTGAAGAGTTTCTTTACCAGCAGTATTTCTGTCACATCTTGTGTCTGGACTGTTTTTTGCTGGTTGGATCCCATTTGCCACATTTCTGACTGAAGCTAAGGATTATTTTCATGTACGTTTTGTATAGTACCTGTATTCTATTTTTAGGAAAAATATACACATGCATTTTTCTTCTTTCAGCTGTGCAGAATGGCATGCAGATGAACTAGCACATTTCAGAATAAGTTCAATAGAGAACAAAGTATTATGTCACTGGCTGAGTAGAAGAAGAGGACCTGATCTCTGACTACAAAAGAAAAATAAAGAATTGCTAAGAGTGTGGCTTTGAGAAAAATAAGCCTGACTATTTTAGTACTAAGGTGAGTTATGGAAACAACAGTAAAAGAGAAAAATCTTACCAAAGAAAAGTGTGGGAATGGTATAAGGGTAAATTGTGGCATGAGAGAGCAATAATGAAACATGTTGAGAAAAAATAGAAAATTAGCTCGGTACATAATGCAAAACAAAACAAATAGTTTATAGAAACACAGCATTAACACAGTTTATATTTTCACAAAAAGAAAAGGGTTGGAATGAACAGTGAGTAAGCATTGGTGTCTCTTATTGGAGAAAGTCAGTTTTTCTAGGAGATTTGCTGGGACAGATGCTAAGGACATTGTGGAAAAGAGTAACCTTTCATCAAAAAACAGCAGAATTAGCTGGAGAAAATAGAAATCAGTAATAAGTGAATAGAGTGAGAATGAATAAATGAATAGATTGATGAATAGGCAGAGAACATCGCTGCTTTGGGATGACCTAGAATAATTTATCTAGTGTCATGTCATGTTCCTAAAATGATCACAATGCAGGAAAACAAAGATTGTTATTTCACCATGCTGTATATATTTTTGTGTGCAATTAATGGTGTCTATATTGAAGTCTGAATACCATCCATTTGTAAAGGTATTAATGATACAAATGTACTATCCAAAAAATTATTAGTATCACTGGCTGCAGAGACTAAACTGCTGACTACTGCATGTTATGAATAATTTAGACCTGATGTATTGATATCTTTTCCTGATTGATTAGTCAAAGCACAGTTAACCTTTCTACTACCACTAGTCATGTTAATTTTAAAGAACTGCATGTGATTCCAATATTGGGGAGTAAAGGTAAAAAAAAAAATTATCTGGTAACTACTTTAAAATTGTTTAGCTGTGAAAGTTGAGGAGATTTTTTTACTTGAAGCTTTCAAGGTTAATAGCAACTAAATTGAATAGTCTCAGTAATTTTAAGTCAGTGTTTCCCTGAGGCTAATGTCACCCCCCTGCAAAGTGCCATTAATGCCCCACTTACTTACAAGGCTTTCAAAATAAGTTTAAAGTGGGATACTGCCCATGTACTGAAGCAAACTCCTTGTAAACAGAACTCTTTGGAAGAACTGCATTTAGTGTCTGTATGTCCATTTCTCACTTTCTTCCCTCATAATGATAACGGAAATGTTTTACAATTTTTTTCTTCTTTCCTTTTTGAAAAAGAGAAATGACCAAGTTACAAGATGAACTAACGAAGTTAGAAGAGGAAAGAAGTGAAGATTGGTCATCTGTGCAAAGAAAATGACAAGGTATCTATGACAATCACAGTACAGATTAATTTCTTGCTGATGTAGAGGTTTTCATGATAGATAAATTCTGGCAATAAGCTTTAAAAATAGTCCTAGGAAAAGATGTTCTGAAAAGAACTTTTTTCTTCTGTTTGATTGCTGGAGTAAGTATATATCTTTATAAGTATCTTCAAGATACATCTTAAAAGTCATTACTGTGTTGAATTTAGCTATATTTCTGGAAGTAAATGATGATCACATTCATGAGCTGTGTTCTTGGGAGAAGTCAGTAAAAACACTGCTTCTCCCAACACCAAAATAAAATTCTTCCAGGCACTGTCGATTTCTGAGGTTTTAAAATAATCATTTCACAAATTCATTTAAATCACTGCACTTGAACACTCGGTGCACAAGTTATACCACTTTCTCTTTTCTTTGTCATGTATAACCATTACAAATAAATGTGCTAGTACTTGTTCTGCACTGTATTTAAAGGATATATTCTCTTAAGTTTGTTGTTCTTGTAACTTAAGGAATGCAGTATCAGTACTGCTGACAACTCATGTCCCTCAAATACTCTCAGTAATGTCCATATATATTTATGCAGTGGCAGCTAAGAGGCTGACACAAGGCTATATGCTACTTAAGATCTGAGGTTAAATGGCTCTTCAGTGATGCATAAAATTTGTATTGATCATCTGTCCAGCATTGAATTGAACCTATTAATGATTAAGCCTTACAGTATCAGTATGAGAAAGGGAGTTATGATCTCAATTGAAAAAGTGATAAAACAGAGCCCCAGGGGCTCACATAATCATTTCAGATCATACAGGAAGTATATAACAGAGCTCACAATCTAAGCCAGCTCATCTCACCAACCAGCTCATCCTCCTTATTTGGACATCCTTGCATTTGTTGTCTTTTTCATCATATTCTGTCAGGTGTGGAATAGGTATGTCAGCAGCTATGCATTCCTTGTGCACTGCTTTAACAGTCAAATTCTCTTGCAAAGTAACTTAAAACACACATGGAATGAGAATTGTGAATCTTTCTTGTCCATAAAGAATACGACACATGGTGCAAAAGGGCCAGCATAAACAACATAACTTGGCTTTCATAAATTAAAACAAATTAAAACAGAATGCGCAGGAAGACCTGCTATTGTTACCTCTCCTTTTTATTCTTTTTTTTTTGCATCGTGTTCTAGATCTTTCTCTAGTATAGAGAGGAACTGCTTGTATGGAACAATGAATGCTTTTGCTTTTGTAATCTTGCTGAATGTCTATTTGATTTCTTTAGCAAATGTCAGGTCACATGTTGGCTGTTCGTGTACTGAAACTGAAGTATAAATCATCTTCTCAAGTGACTAACTGTCATTTTTCTTTGCAAAATATTTTTCTATCTCTATCTTATGTAACTCTTACAGTTGCTGACATTTTCCTAAAAGCCCTGTTCATTTGACACTCAGGATTTCAGTATAAAACTATAGATGAGAATAGAGAACTCTTTTGCCTTCACTTTGTACCCATTTCCTTTACCATTAATTGAAGAAAGGAATATCATGCATTTCTGAGTCATGCTGTATAAGGGTACTTTATTTTATACATCATTAGAATTTTAAAAGGAGAAGGATAAGCTGTACCATAGGTGAAAGCAAGTGTTAACATGCTTGAACTGTAGAAAATAGCTATTAAATCTTGATGGGATGATATCCCTGATAGATCAAATAAATGTTGATGTAGTGATGTAGATCATATGGATAAAAAGTTGAGTGCTACAGAAATGGTTGTTAATATTAATGGAAAACGTGTATAAAAATATGTAAACCTCAGTCAAAGACATGAATCTATCCAGAAGAAAAGAAAAAAAAAAAGATAGAGTGTGGACTTCTGTGCCTTGAGTTATGTCTACAAGAGTACAGCCCTGTATAGCTGTGTCTTGTCGTAGATTAAGATTGTGTATATTTGACCATACCTTATGTTTTATTGTGCCTGATTCCTGTTGGCTTAGGGATGATATTTCAGTATTAATAATCTGCTTTACTTAGGTAGAAAGCTGTTGATGGGTCTTCCTGATGGATCTTTTTAATCAAACTTACAAAATGTAAGAATTTCCTAGAAGAAAATGGCTGCATAATGTGGAGTCAGTTGCTATTAAATTCTTGTTGGTGTGGCCTTTGACTTGCAGCTTCTGCTGGGTCCAGCTGAAAGATGAATGAGATAATTTTGCTGGTGTTTCAGGTCACCACTTATGCCAGTCTCACCATTATGGGCAGTGAATTAAAGTGTTTCTGAACAGCTCTGGAAAAACACATTCAAGAAAAGTTATGTTCCATCTGACAGAATGCTACTTTTAAGCACCTAGGGTGATTTGGAGTGCCAGGACTTTGGTCTTGAGAATTGATCCACTATTCCTAAAGCATCCAACCTCAAATCTTTTAGTTAAATTTTAAACAATCTAGAGACTTCAATAGGTAGATGCAGGGAATTTTAAGACTTCTTTAGGAGTTTGTAGGTAGGTTTAAGATGTCCGTATATATATAGTCTTAATCTCTAAAAACCAGAATCTGAATTAATTGAGTACTGTGTGGCTGTAAAAGAGCATTGATGTGCTTAGAAAGGGAAGTCAGATCTTTATCTAAATATCTCTGCTTTGTAGTAAGATACAGTATAATAACACGCACAGTGAACAGTTGAAATCAGCATAGACACATCTGAGAAAGGACACTTTACTCAAGTAAAGAAAGGTATGAAAAGTACCTTCCTCAGTCCTGGGACTGTCTCAAAAGCCAGACTCCCTGCAGTTTAGAGCAGCCTGTCTTACTGACATCTGTGACATCTCCCAGTCATGTTTTTGGGGTTTGTAGAATTACAGTTCTCTTCTTATCAAAGACAGATGTAGGATTGGGTCCCCAAGAAACGGATTCCATCTATCAATATACATACCAGTGTGACTTTACCACCAAAGATTCTCAAAGCTGGTTCATGGACATTGCAAATTTGTACTCCTCACTCATAAAGGTACAGACATAATAGTTTACAGGTGTGGAAGTGAAACACAGATGTGAATATTTTAAGACATACAGCCTTGACAGTAATACTTAAAATCATTCAGCATGGATCAGCTCAGAGAAATAAGCAGGGTTGTAGTTTGCCTTTGAAAGTCTGAGTAGTTACTATAGCACCTGAAGAAACCAAAAGAACTGAACTTACTTTTCTGAAAATACTTTTACAAGAGGACAAAGAAAATCTTGAAAATCTAATGTACAGTTGTGAAATGAATCCAACTTTCTGAATATTCAAAGAACCTTTCTGTGTTCCATTTTACTCTCCTCTGATTTGAAAACATCTTTTTCTGAGTTCTTGGAAAACTGTACATTTCTACTGTGCACTCTTCTTATTAAATCTTTCTTTCTCTTGCTACAAACTCTGATAGAGGGGGACTTCCAACAGCACTCTCTTGCAAGTCCCCCAGTGCATATTAGACAGCACTGGGTCGTGAACACTAAAGTCTCCAAAGGCTTACTGGATGATCCCCTTTTAAGATCTCTGGTGGTACAAGTTGTCCCAAATTAGAAGCTATTTGCAGGTCTCAGAAATGTGTAAGAATAAGTCTCCCCAGTTACATACCTCAGGAGATCTGCAAAGAGGAGGAGGATGATTAAAGTTTATGGCTTGCAAAAGAAGGAAGTTGGGGAGGTTATTTCTCAGTGTTCTTTTTATGAGATTTTTTTAAAGGAAAAATATTTTGACTGACAGGTCTTTGGATACGCTGTGAGTTCTGTATTTGCAATAAGGCCCAGAGAAACAAGCCTTTATTTTTCACTAGAAGACTGCAGGCTATAGCACTCTCAGTATTAAGATCATTGGAGCCAGGCATCCCTGCTGATATTACTAAAATGAACTTTAATCAATCTTGAAAGAAGACTTCAATAACATGAATTATGGCCACTAGTGCTAGATCTTTGATAGAAGAATGGGCTTGGCAGTATTGATTTTCTTACTCTTCGCATTTCTTCTGATATCGTTGCCACCTATTAGCAATGTGTATTTTAATAAAACTTTATGAACTGCCTTTTCCCAGCAATCTTTCTGTTTTTAAGTGGAATATTTTCTATGTCATTCACATGTCTTTTTCTTCATTTTAAAACAAATATAATATTTGTGGAAGATTGTGGATTAAAAAAACAATCCAAAAATAGCAACTTACTTCCCTCTCTAACTATGACACAGCCCCTGTCAGTATTACCAGATGGGGAAGATGAGCCAGAAAATAGCATGAATAGTCACCAATCTTCCTCTTTCATTTTTCTTTCTCTTTGAGAAGGCAAGATCTTTTGCCTTTTCTTGGCTTGATACATTTTAAGTCCTAGACTTTATGTTTAGAAAAACTTAGAGCTGGTTTTGATAAAAAAGCCTGGAGAGGTTTAGAGAATTCAGAGCCTTCCTGGGACAACTGCAGAAATAAGAGAAATGATAGAAAGGGCCTATGGGCTAGGAAATCTGCTGGGGAGTACACAAAAGTGATTTACTGTTTACACATGAAGAAAAATGGGAGAAAAAAAAGCTGAAACTACTAATGTTATAATATTTTTCTAGATTACAGCAAAGTTCACAGGTGGCATCTTGCATGTGGCCTGCAGCCTTCTGACCTTCTGAAAGATGGCCTTGTGGTTTCATAGGTTAGCTCTCCATGATTAAGTTGTTATGGAGCAGACCACTAACGCTTCTCCATAGCACTATTGCTGTACCTTTATAGGGACTGCTAAATGATGTGGTATGTACCACAGAGACCACTGTCCACAGGAAAGTGCTGTCAAAGAGTGAGAGAGGGTTAACCACAAAATATTTACAATTTTAGCATGCACTGAAAAAAATATACAGCTGAAAACAGTATTTTCCTTTTGCTCTCTTTGTGCATTGTGGTTTTAGATTGGCTGCAAAAATGTTTCTGTATAGTGTGGATTGACTACAGTAGATGGCAAACAATGATTAACCATTTCCTTCCAACTGCTATTTAAT